TGTTGTGGTCCAGTTGACAGATCGGAAAGGTTTGTCGTAGGATGGAGAATGGCACTGGGAATGTGAGGAAGGGAACAGATGGGAGCGGGCTTGTTGAGGTCGAGTCTGTAGCACTGGAGTAAAGTAGGGGAGGGCCAGCGTGCTGAAACACACTCCTTCCCACCTGGGGGACGGGAGCGGATACAGTACTCATTGCAGAAATATGGAAGTCATAAGAGGGAGCTGTTGGGCATATATACTTTTTAAAGGTGTTTTCAAGTCAACGAGGTAGAGATTCCTTCCTGGGGATTAAGAAAGGTAGAAAGCATAGATGAAAAATGTGGCCATCATCTGTAATAGATGGATCTGTTGGAATATTGTGATCACCAAAAGGAAAGAAAATGGAGAAGAGGAGAGGTTTTGAAAAAGGAACTTTAAAAATGTCAGTGTTTATTGGAGGCAGAGTTTTGGATGTGGAGGTATTACAGTTCAACACTGGGTTAATTCAGCGATGGCTTCTCCCGGGGTCTGTCTGCTGGCGTTGCCCTGCGTGTCTTTACAAAAGGGATGTGCGGTAGAAGGCGCTTTGAGGTTCTGTTTCACTTTGCCTACATCTTGGCCGTGGACATATAATCTTAGAAGTCGGCCTTAGCTGTCTTCAGTATAAAAGGAAAATAAGGTTATAAGATTGAAAATGGAAAAGAGCTTCATACAAATTGAGGCTGGTTTTGAGCCAGTCTGTTAACCACAGCTTAGATGGCACTGTGAAGGTAGGATTATGTTAGCATATTGGAGTGACTGCACAAAGGAGAAGTTTTGGTTATACTGCACCTGGCTTTTGAACTAAAAGGATCTTAGATAGTGAAATGAAGTTCTCATTCCCTAGATAGTGTTTTGTGTTTTAGCCATACTTTCACTGTGAAAATATGGGAAATTTGATAACATTTTAAAATTCATTGCTGTTTTGCCGAGCTAGCCGTCTTCAATGGTTATGAGTCACTTGGAGCCTTTGTTTTCTTATCTAGAAAATGAGATAATGACTCCTAGTCCCTGATTCAGAGGGCTAATGGGAGGGTTAAATGAGATATTGAATGTAAAAGCACTTTGTGAACTGAGGACTCTAGGATTACAGCTGGCCCCCGGGTGTGTGGCGTGTTGATGGTGACTGGTCGTCATTCAGGTTCACCTGCCTCAGCTGCCCTTCTGCCAGCACCTTTATCTTGCGTAGACAAACAATATACAGTGTGTTTCATGAAATCCATCCTTTGAACTAAGGCTTAGTTACCGGCATACACAAGTTGAATGTCCTTTGCTTATCCCAGGATACACAGGGCAGCCAGATTTTCCGACACGCAGTGCTTACTTGTGTGAAGCCGGAGCAAGGCACAGACTTGCCTTTTAAACTATGAAAAACCGCAGCACTTGTCTTAACAATCAGTGTAAATTTCTGACTCTAAGTACATACAATTGTGGACAGTCCTTCTCCCCACTTCCAGCCTCCTGTCTGCTCTCCCTCCTTCCCATTTTTCTCTTTC